AAGGCAGACCCACTTTCGAAACTAACCTGCAGTGCCACTCAGCGTAGACTTATCCTACACCACGTAGATAACCCAATAACTACAAGTAGAGAAGATGATTGTGATTCCTCTGATGATGAAATGGAAGAGGATGATTTAGCTTACTATAGCGTAATATATTCGGTTTATTTTGGTTTCTAAACCACCGTAGCCAAGTCACATACACTCAACAAGAGAAGTGATTACCGTGACTCAACACACAGTGAGGCGGTCACGTGAGACGGACTTCAACCCGCATCGATTGAGGAGGGGTGTTGGTCATGTATGGTTCAAGCCTCTCGGATGTCGTGTTGTTCTGTTCTCAGTGGCTCACACAAAGCCTCGTGTTCGACTGTCATCGGGATGATCTCACAAGACATGAATGTCAATGATCATGAATGCTACTTCCAATGCACACTCAATGCACATTCGATGCATAATCATAATGATCAAGTGTAGACTAGGTACGTGTATACTGATCCTAGTCGTATGATGCGTGTTCAGTCCGATCCCTTCTGACATGCTTATGTTGATGATGTATGATTCATCTCACCCAATGAACCTAACAGGGATTACACCAGCCAGAGATCGCAAGTCTCAGGCAGGAGTATCAAGATTTGCTTGCATTCAAGATTCTGACTTTGTGTTTCCACTGAGAAACGAACCAAGGCACGGAGGCCTGTGTTCTTGTGGTCCAACAAATAATATAGCTTAATAATATAGATTAATAATATAGATTATTTTTTTGTTATGTTTTTTATCTATCAACTTATAAGAATTACATTTCTCTCTAGCGTGTAGCCCTTCAAAGAATATACAACATTACATTTAAGTAGACAAAATTACAACATCTCCCAACTTTACTCCTCCTAATTCGCGTGGGAGACTCGCAACGTGACTGAAACGGTGCGGGACGAAACCCGAGAGGTTCTGTCGCGCCACCTCATGGATACAAACTACTACTATCGCGAAAATCTGCGGGCTGCTACTGGTCCGAGAAAATCAACCTGAGCCCAGACAGATGGGTGCGCCTCATGGCATCAAAGATGTTGAGATTTTCTAGTGCATGTGTAGCGACAAAGACGACTACAAAATAAACAAAAATGGCATCTTCATGATTTGCGGATCGTACCTCGTAGTCGTGGACATGCCTAGAGCCCTAGAGCTAGTCAAGGCACCACGATGAAGAGTCCATGTTTATCTTCGTCGTGGCGCCCTCTATTGTAGAAGTCAGTAAATCATTCAATATGTAGGGTTAGTGAAAATCTAGGAACATACGTACTGGTACTATCACGACCACTACCTACTTCTCGCTCTCCACGGTGCCGTTTGCACAGTCTGCTTTCTTTGTATGTCGAGAATTCGGCCTTCTTGTAGTTTTTACACGTTGTAGAGGTAGCGCTGATCAACACACGTTCAGGCGGCATGATGAAGCGTTGTCAACTCCACTAGCTGGCTGTTTTCTGATCGTGATCATTTAATATCCTCATGCTTCTTTTCTTTTCCTACCCGTGTGCGTATTAATGCTGACCAAGAGCAATTGAGAAAACTGAAAAACAACAGCCTTTGCATGTGGTACTAAATTTTTTCCAAAAGTCGTGGTTGGAGGTATAATCTCCGTGTCTGGCGCGTGGAGGGAGTTGTGGCGCCGTAATATATTGAGCGCGGCTAAGTCTTAATAGTAGTAAGACTAAGATTCAAGTCATAGGAGACTTCTTGAATTGAGAAGAGTCAAGTCATGGAACTAGTAGGGCCTGAAATGTAGCGCACAAGAAGAAGAGAAGGAAAGCATTGGCGACGTTGTTGGTGTCCATCGCTTTACACAGTTGTGAATGCGAGTAGGTCTGTACTATTACTTGGTCTGACGTCCACCACGATCGGAGATATGACTCACTGGCGTCCACCCGATGAAAAAAATGTAGAACATCGAGACACAAAGCTCTTCACCATCACGATCACCGCTTGTCATGAGAGTGTGAGTATAGAGGCTAGAAGTAGCACGTTTTCTTTGAGGAGCAGGGTTCCAAGTTGGTCAAGTTGCTCTTGTCCTTTAACCTTCTTTTTTTTATTCGCAGTATTACTGATAGCACACGCGGCATATCTTCAGCATCACGGATCTGAAGTAGGCGGCTATCTTGCCCTTGTCAGGTTTGGCATGCTCAAAGCATTCACCAGAAAACTGCCCTCCAGCTGCACTGTGTAGCATGTGGGAATGCTGACAATCCTGAGCGTTGCGCAGTGTTCGATCATGGGGCACCATCATCACAAGTATGCCGCACTAACTAGCACGAGACTGCCTCTCATTCCTTCAGTGGGATTGATGCGTGGGATCTTCATCGTGTGCATATGTGTCATCTTCCTAATCTCACAAGGCTGAAAATAGTAGAATACCTTAGATACTGAAAAGAGCAAGAGGCTTTTTAGTTTTAGACAAGGATCATGAGGCACGACGGACTGGATATCGAGAGTGTTGGGAGCGCTCGTGACTCTCCCTCAGACGAAGGCACGCCCTCAGACGAGTGTGGAGACTCTCCCGGCAAAGATGCTGAGGTGCACGCCCTGCTTCGAAGGAAGCACGTTTCCGGAAAGGGGCAAAGGGACTTGTTAAGGCCTAGTATAGTTGTCTCTAGATCTTCTACTTGTGCTCCAGTGATGAATACTTAATTAAGTACACTTCTCTGTTACCTGTAGTAAGCAAACGAACTTGGACGAAACTTGTCAAGTTGTAGTGCGAAGCAAGATGAGATGCGGAATGTCTTTGTCTACTTTCTAAGACGGGGCTCTGCTCCCTCGTCCGCTCCTTCTTCCTTGTTGAAAGATGAACGCGGCAACCAAGAAACTGGTGGCAAAAAGAACCGTCCCCGTTCCACTTGCGACAGACGATGCTGCGCGTTCTCATGGTGTCGGGTCGGGACCATCACCACGATTCTTTTTCTCTTCTCCGCGTGCCTTTACTTCTACTTATGGTTCTCAATCATAAGTCATAACAGGACTTTTCTATTATTCTTTCTGCAAGTGCTGGTTAAACGTCATGTTCGTAGTTCTCGTACTACACCTGCAAGTAGTTTACAGGAAAAAAAACGAAATAGCAAGTTATTTTCTTTTCTTAAGATGAAGAGTTGGTTAGTATCGAAGTATCATAGTGTGAAGGATAATGCCAAGGCCAAGACAGCTCTTCTAACTTTGCATGATGCAGTCCTCGAGTTTCTTGGCGAGAAGGGGTCGCGAATAGGGCAATTTTATCCCTTTGCAGCAGAGCCGTCGAGCAGCACGTTGCAAACCTCCCAAGAAGAGGTTATCAATTGCGGGTTGGTAACTTGCGGAGGTATTGAAGAGCAGCTCCGTATAAATATATCTCTTCATGCTTGAACTCTCTCTTCATGATGCTTCACGACCCCACAGTACTGATTATCCACTGGGACTCTGCTATGCAGTTGAAGTTCACATTGTTACCTCAAGAATTGCATACTGTTATTATCACTTCAAGTGTATCTTCCGTTGGTATTTTTTTTCGTTTTTTCTTTCAGGATCTTCCTCCACCGCTTCTTCCTCATCGGCTGCAGCAGAGGAGAAAGCGGCTGATCAAAAAGCCGTCGGGACTTCTTCGACTTCTCCCATACTAGGAAGCGGGGCTGCTGATTCTTCTACTGGTGCTGCTGATCCCTCTACTGGTGCCGATTCTTCTACTGGGGCTGCTGATCCACCTTCTGCTGTTGCAGCTGGTGATAATCGTGCTGCTGATCATAGTAGTGGTCATGGTACTTCTGATCATAGTACTACTGATCTTCATAGTACTGAGCCTGGTGCTGATACAACAAGTGATCCTCGTGCTGGTAAGGGAGCAGGTGATGGATCTAGAACGAGTGATACTGCATCAAAAAAGCAAGGAACAGAAGAAGAAAAAAATGCAGAAGAAAGAGAAGAGGACGAAGAGGCTCGTCTGAGTATTGCTGCTGAACCAGAAGTCTCGCCAGCCGCGCCTGATCTCACGCAGCAGGAGGGCACGTTGGACAAAGATTCTTTAGTAGATCTTGACTGCCTCACGACAGACAATTGCAAGGCTATAATTCGTCACCCGGCAGACCCTGGTTTACATTCGAGCGGGGCAGAGCCCACGGACATCGGGATCTACATGTGCCCAGGACGAGAATCTGCTACGCAGCAGGCGGATCGTGCTATAGGTATCGGTAGCCTATTCGCGGGACAGAAGATCCGCCCGCCGATCACCTGTGCTACATTCACCAAGAAGTTCATCAATGATGCGGCTAATCATCTCTGGGCCGGCAAGGAAAGCAGCACCACCTCACCCATCTTCGAGAAGCTGGGATACGACGAAACGCGAAACGGCCGTCAAATCATTAGGGAAGGGTCAGCTAGTGCCGAAATAGCTCGAAAACAGAATAGTGTTCGATGAAAATAGAAACTGGAGCAGGAGTTAAGTTATTTTTTTTTCGGCTCTTAGTTTCTTGACTAATCGCCTACTTCTAGTCCACACATATTAGTTTGGGCCATCTCTGCTTCCTCAACATACAGCAACAACACGTGTTTCTCGATTTTTTCTAATTTTTCCTGGGCCGCTGGTGTCGAAGCCGACGACGCTTGTTGCCGTGATAGCGAGCTCTCAAAGGACGACTCAGATACCAACTGGCCTCCCGTTTTTGTAGGGATCTCGATATGGGGCCCCCCGTCTTGCATCCCGAACCCACAGAAAACTTGCCAGTGGAGTGTCCGGGTTAAGGCCGATTAATTATATTTATCATGTCCGAAGTTTTTTTGGCGTTGGCAGGCATTAAGAATGTGCGGACGTAGTTGCCTGGCACGCAAGTAGAATTTGTGCCAGTAGAAAAGTGACAAGCACTACGGCGGGCTTTCGGCCTGACACATCTTGAAGAGTGCTGCAGCTGTGATCTGCGAAGCGCTTGCGCGGATGAACATTTCTTTGTGACCTTCCTCTAATAATGACGGCGAGCCGAGCCTCCACAAATTCGCTGGAAACGTTTTATAAGGCGTCCTCTATTATTCATTATCCAGCATCTCCATAACGAAGATCCCTCAGCCGTATCTACCCGCCTTCAAATACAAGGGAGACATTGTTGAGGCATAGACTTGAGGGATCCCCACGACAGGGATGAACTAGGTGGAGGGGTCTAATTTTTGTGTAGTGGTCCCAAGTCTGGGACGTCCTATCTAGATAATATTAATGCTGTGGTCATCGAAACGATAACAGAGAAGATATTTCCGAATCGCCTCGGCAATGTTTTATTTCCCATGAAGGAGGCGAAAGCGGATGCATCCATTCGTTGCGAGGTAATAACGAAGGGCTTTGTCGATGAAAACCTGCTTCGGCCTGCCCTGGAAAACGTTACGGATACAACGGATTATTTCTATGTATCTATAGGCATATGGATTATTTCTATGTATAGTTCACTACTTCTTCTCACTAAATAAAATACGCTGCCCATCCCTTCCATGTATAGCTGTTTTCGAATCAAGCACGCTCTTCACAGTATTGAAAGCGAAACAAGCCTACTTTTAGCTGGTACAAGATCATCAACGGCTGGATGCACGCACTCGCTCTAATGTGACAACGCCAAAGTCGAAGAGGGTCCGTGACTGGTTTGCTAGGCAGAGTTGGTCGGAGCAAGGTGTTCCTAGCTGGTCGAACTCCGATGAGACCAATGACGCGGTGTGCTGTGTGAATGGTATCTACTATCCCTTGAAGATATTGTTTTTTATTTCATTCTTTTCTTTCTTTTGGGTTTGGCGGGACTTTGTTCATTTTCATTTTTTTCCATATCACGCATTTCGTATTCGTTTTCATTTATACTTAGTAAGTCGATTTTGTCGTCGATGTTTGTCTTCTGGTGGTGCTGGAAGTTGGTCGCTAATTCAACATCTAACCACAGCTGAAGAAGAGAGACTACGACTGAGGGCCCAGAAAATGAGTGCAGAGGCGAATGCGTTAAAGTGCGAGCCGATCGCAAACAGGTGCATGGTCGAATGTGAGGCTAGGCCTGTTAAGGCTAGGTTATCACTATACCATGTGGACTATGCTGAGTGGAGTGCCTCTTGATTTAAAGGAAGAACCAAGGCGGAGGAAAAAGGGTACCTCACTCAACTAGGGAAAAACTATCTAGCTTTAAGTGGAAGTTTACCCAGACAGACGCACTCGCAGAAGGAGCCGTTTACAAAGAAGCAGGGGCATTTTTCTGCAGTAGGAGCTCTCCGGTGATGCAGAGGCAGCCTGATGGTATTCAGAACTGTGCAAGCATCACGCGAATGCTGATAGACAGAGTGAGTAAACAGAATCCACCTGCTGACAGCGCATGGGCAGAGGCTTTCGAACAAGCAGCGGAACACAGGGACAATGTGTGGAAACTTAGGTACGAGCCGGGCCAAGGAGTCACGTGGGAGAGGCAGGGGCAGAATGAAGATGAGCCCTGCTGCAAGGAGAGCCCATCAATTGGTATCATCTTCTTTGTGATGAGTATCGTGTTGTAGAAGTTTGTTGTAGTTTTCATCTCGATGCTGCTCTTGTGGTCTCTTCTAGAGAGTTCTCATGGAAAGTTTTTCATCGAGTAGCCCAAAATGAATACTTCAAGTACAAATCTACAACATGGAATCAGCATGGTATTCAAATATATCGACTTGAAAATCACAGGTCCGCATGATTTTTTTAAATGAGGGAGATATGCCTTTATCAGACTGGCACTATCATGAGTGGTCATGAGACAGGATCGAGCTAAAGGCCCGAGGCGAAGTATCTCGGATGGAGGTCAACTCAAATAAGTCAGGAGTTGAGCAAAGGTACTGACGAGCCTTAGTCTCAAGGGGTGGTATGGTGATATCTCGGGTGGACGAGATGAAATAGACACTATCATATGAAACTTCATCTTCTAAAAAGTAAGCTATCCAGCATCTTCTTCTGAGATGTAGCAACTTGTACAACAAGATGGATAATGTTCAATTGACGACCCTGTACAAGACGACATTGACTACAAGTATGCTATACAAGAACCCCACTACTACCGAAGAACAGCTACTACTTGTCGACGAATGGCCACTGACTAATGACCACTCAGTGACCACTGTGGTGACAAATGGCCACTCAGTGTTGACTGAGTAAGCTGAAATGACCATCTACAGCCAACAACCCCATGACCCGCGCTGCTAAAAATGCTGTAAGTGCGCCACAAAGGTGAACTACACCTTAAAACCTCGCTTACTGGCTCTACAGGAGCCATGACAAGGTGACGAGTTAGTCGTTTTCTTGTGTGAGTTCAGGGTCCTGACCTCCGATGATCCGATAACTTTCTTGTCAACTTTGATTGTCGTTGGTTCATGAAAAGTACACGACCACCAGTAGATAATGACGAAGTTTTTACTTTAGCCCGACCAAGCTGGTGCGTTGCCTCATCTCTGTCGAAAACAAAGCTTGTAACTGGAACCTGCTGTTTTTCGAATACACGATATTAATGGTCCCTGTTATTTCTTTGCAAACATTATGCAGCTTCTTCTAGAGAGCAGAAGGAAAATATGTAGCAGATTATAATGGATGCTGTTGAGTATGCAACAGCAACGTAGAACAAGAAGAGTCCATCAGAATGAAGACGACGGGCCAGCTCTCTCTGCTTTCGTCCTTGAGCGCGTTGCGCGACGTGGTCGTGGGGAGAGAACACAAAAGTGAGGCCACGAGACGATATGAGCTACAACAGAGCAGGTTGCCTAGCAGGTATGCAACTTCTTCCACGATCTTACAGCAATACATCAATGCCGTAAGTCGTGCGCGGACGAAAGTAACAGAGTGCGCTCGCCAGAATGGAGTGGCCACGTCGTTGACTGGAGTTTTCTGGTCTCCATTCATGTTGTTCTTGCTGCTACTCCTTACCGGATCCAACATGTTGCTCTTGCGTGCTTATCTCCTACTCAATTTAGGAATGGGCCTTTCCTTCTACCTGGGGCAGTCTGCAAGCAGCGCTAGTACCTTTGGCGGGCGGGAAAACTATAGTTATAGTTTCGGCATCGGAGGGCCACCACCTGTAGCCGTACCTGCTGATTTACCTAATCGTGTCGATCTAGGGCCTGGTAGTAGAACTACTAGCAGGTGAGCGTGGTCAACAAAGAGGACTGGATGGACCAGCACTAGTCCAACAAATGCATGCTCGGAAAATCAGAGCTGCGGGACTGGGAAACATACGAGATCGAAGACACACACATGAGTAAGGTTGTGGGAACTCCATCTCCGAACTCCTCTGGAAGGAGAAGCCAAGAAGATCTTTGAAGAGATGATCTTCCCGCATCTCTAACATGAACACGGGAACAGCTCTCCGCTTTCATCGTTTCACATAGTCCGCCAAGACGACGAGGACGTCGAAAGGGATTTGCTGAGACGGCTAGAGCGCGGCATGAATGGACACGAAGCGATGCATACATTTTCAGTACTTCTTTCATATTAAACTGGTGGAGCAACACGACATCCACATCAACAAGGCGAGTAGTTATCGTCGCAGGAGGGTCTTACCTGTCGCTGCCTTGACAGCCCAAAGGACGCTCGGAGCCGAAATGAAAGTAGATCACATACTACTTCGACTTCCGGTGGCCTTCATCTCTCTGCGGGAAGTGGTATGTTCCTGGGCTGCGGGAAGTGGTATGTTCCATGGAACAAATGAAGATGGTGATGGGCAAAGAGAAGCACAAGCTGTACGAAAAAGTGAGGAGGATGAGGCGTTGGATTCCGATATTGGAAAAATGCTTTTATTAAGGCAGACCGCATTGGTTGCAATTGCCTCCAATTTTTGATTACACTGATCTCTTGACATCACCAGGATATCAAAATTGATGTATGACTTTCAACACCTACTTGAGAAGTACAACTATCCCGGCCAGACAGTGAGCCAGATTCAGATGCAGGATATCAAGCGGAAACTTCTAAGGACAATAGCTCTGATGCTGGGGTTGTACTTTCTCAAATGATGTCTTATCATCTCCTAAAAATGTTCCGATGAAGAAGAAGTTACAGTCTGAGGATTTTAATGTTCTAGTTCACAGGACCAGGCCTGTCCACGACAACACCTAACCGGACGAGATCTAGGAGATCCTGATCCTATAGATACCTAAAGAGTTTAAGTATTATTTACCTTAACTGGGTCATCTACAACTTCTCTAATAAATCTAATAAATAATAATATTTACGCAATAATTATATCAACATCTTCCAATAATTTTACGCCTCCTAATTAGCGTGTGAGACTTGCAACGTGACTGAAACGGTGCGGGACGAAACCCGAGAGGTTCTGTCGCGCCACCTCATGGGTACAACCTACTGCTATCGCGAAAATCTGCGCGCTGCTACTGGTCGTCCGAAAAAATCAAACTGATGGACGAGGACCACTACAAAAATGGCATCTTCATAACTTGCTGTTCGTACCTCGTAGTTGTAGTGCTGGATATAACCGGTGCAAATCAACAAGGGACCACGAGGAGTCCATGTTTTTAAGCTTCGTCGTGGGATCCTCTGCCTGTACTGTCGTCAGTATCCTTCAATATTTAGGGTTATTTAAAATCTAGGAACTTACGTACTGGCACTATCACGACCACTAGTACCTTCTCGTTCATCTCCACGGCAAGGTTTGCGCAGAGTCTGCTTTCTTTGTATGTCTAGAGTTTGGCCTTCTTGTAGTTTTTAGACGTTGTAGATGTTGATGTACAAGTAGCTGCCTATAGGCAGCATGATGAATAAGCGTTATCTTCAACCACACTAGGTGGCCAGATTAGATAGGTTAAACATTGCGTGGTCCGCTCAGCGTCTTATTCCTAGTAGTTGGTGTCGGTGTAGACGTATATATAATTTCAAGACAGCAGGCATCACAACTCAAACAGTTGTAGAGGAATCTGAAGTTTATTGTTCACTATGCTGATTGAAATTATCCAAATTTCACTGCTACGTTTTTCATCCTTGGTCTAGACCAATTATAGAGATAGTTTCTGAAACTCCTAAGTTTCATTATATCCTTCTTTTCTGATCGTGCTATGCATCCTCATGATGTTTCTTTTCTTTTCGAAAAGTCGTCGTAATTGGAGAGGCGCCTCCGTGTCTGGCGCGTGAAGGGAGTTGCACCGCAATTTATTGAGCGCGGCTATAGTGCAATGTGATCATACATTTAGTAAGTGTCAAGTACTACTTTCTATATTTCTCGGCTCTTATCTCACGCTTACCAGTTATTGAGCGCGGCTAGTAAGATTCAAGTCTTATGTATGAGACTTCTTGAAGCGTACCAAAGTCAAGTCATCATGGAACTAACAGAGTCCTGCTCTGAATAGTAGCGCACAAGAAAGAGAGAGAACTAACAGGGTCCTCTGAATAGTAGCGCACAAGAAAGAGAGAGAGAGGGAAAAGCATGAGCGACGACAGTTTGAATGAGAGTAAGTTTGCACTACTTGACGGTCGGAGATCTTTCTCGCGGCTGGCCTAGTAAAAAAGACATCGAGGATCCTCAAAACTCTTTGTCATCACCATCACCGCTTGTCGTCAGCGTGTAACTAGGAGAATACCTGATGCTGATTGAAAAGAGGCTATTTAAACAAGGATGAGACGCGACGGACTGGATATCGAGAGTGTTGGGAGCGCTCGGGACAGTCCCTCAGACGAAGGCACTCCCTCAGACGAGTGTGGGGGATTATCTCCCGGCAAAGATGCTGAGGCGCACGCCCTGCTTCGGAGGAAGCACGTTCCCGGAAAGGAGCAGAGGGACTTGCTAAGGCCTAGTAAAAGTAAGTACATAGTTGTTTCTACGTCTACGTACTGTTGCTTCATTCAATAATGTGAATAATTAGACACTTGTATCTGTCAACCGTAACCATCAAAAGGACTTGGACTAAACTTACCAAAGTGTAGGAGCGTGAAGCAAGACGAGATGAGGAGTGTCCACTATATCTCTAAGACGGGGCTCTGTTCCCTCCGCTCCTCCGCCTTTGTTGAAAGATCAACGCGGCAAGGAAACTGGTGGCAAAAAAAACCGTCCTCGTTCTACTTGCGACAGACGACGCTGCGCGTTCTCATGGTGTCGGGTCGGGACCTTCACCACGATTGTTTTTCTCTTCTCGGCGTGCTTTTACTTCTACTTATGGTTCTCAATCATAAACATAAGTCATGGCACCAGAATTTTTCTATTATTTTCTGTCCAAGTGGATGGTAGTGGTTAAACGTCATGTTCGTAGTTCTTGTAATAAATACCTGTGACTAGTAGTACAAGCAAGGGAAAAAATAAATAACATAAAAAAGATATTGATGTTTTCTCAACATCTTCCTAGTTTGCTATTGCTACATTGACGTAGTGAGAAATAGTCTTCGAAGATTCATCTGAGGCTCTAACTTTGCATGATGCAGTACTCGAGTTTCTTGGCGAGAAGGGGTCGCTAATAGGGCAATTGTATCCCTTTGCAGCAGAGCCGTCGAGCAGTACGTTGCAAACCTCCCAAGAAGAGGTGGTCAACAATTGCGGGTTGGTCACTTGCGGCATGCAGGACGAGGCTGGAGGTATTGAAGAGGAACGATGGGTGATCCAGTACAACCATTTTCCTGATTACGATTCCTATAATAATTAGGTGGAGCAGCTCGTCACTATCATTTCAAGTGTATCTTCCGTTGGTATTTTTTTTCGTTTTTTCTTTCAGGATCTTCCTCTACTGCTTCTGCTTTAGGGGCTGCAGCAGAGGAGAAAGCGGCTGATCAAAAAGCCGTCGGGACTTCTTCGACTTCTACCATAGGAAACGGGGCTGCTGATCCTTCTACTTCTGCTGGTGCTGATGATGCACAAGTGCCACCACAGGAGGAGGCAACGTTGGACGAAGAATCTTTAGATGATCTCGAGTGCGACTACTCCAAAGAAAAATGCATGCATACGATTAGTTACCCGGATATGGGGTTTGATCGTGCGGCTCGCAGAGAGAATGTAGCCATCGGGTTGTACATGTGCCCAGGACAAGAACTTGATAGTAGTCAGAATCAGGTCAAAATAGACAAGCGTACAACTCTACGTAGCCTATTCGCGGGACGAAAAAGCCGCTCGCCGATCAGCTGTTCTACATTCACCAAGAAGTTCATCAATGACGCGGTTCATCATCAACACGGGAGCGGACAGGCAAGCAGCATCATCTCGGAAACCTTCCACCAGCTGGGAGTCGACAACCTCGTAAACATCGGGGAAATTGTTACGAGAGGGTCAGCTAGTGCTGTTGGAATAACTTGAGTTCGTTGATGGAGGTGGATGATAAGAAGAGAAATACATTCCACCCTTTGAGAGAACGTTGAAGGCGTCTTACGTAGCTGCATCACTTGGTACAATCACAAAGTACGACCATAAAGATAGTGAAGATTTAACAAGCATCTACTTCTATGATGATTTTTTTTTCATTGTAGATGATGGTTTATAATACTCATAGATAGTTGTCACCGTTCTTGGGTTATTTTCTAGTCTCCCTTGGCGTATATTAAGCACGTGATCATCACTGTGCTGGAAGGGGTAACAAGCGTAATACACTCCGCAGCAAATGCCTAGTGTGGTACGACAACACTCCTAGCTGTATTAATCCTCTGGCTTTACTTTGACGTACTACTTGGTGAAACTAAGAGTGAATAAGCACCCCCAGTAAGAATTCCAGCATCCTTGTTATCGATTTTACTGTTCAGATTCAGAAGACAAGGACAGCACTGAATATCAAAATTTGTATCTGACGGGGTTTATCGTCTACTAATTCGATCATCTTCATGATGATGAAACAGCATTCCTTCTTAAGTACAACTTCTATGTATGATATATGAGAACACCTTCTCGATTGTTTCTAATTCCTCTTGGGGTCCTGATGTCAACGACGACGACGCTTGTTGCTTTGAGAAGAAGTGGAAATACTTGCACGACGACGAGGACACCCACTGGCCTGGAATTTTTGGAGTTCTTTTAAGGGTCCCTCTGTAATCCAGGTTCAGCTCTAACTCGATACATGGCTATCCTGAAAGCATATGCGCCCCAATACCAGGGGAATACTGATTCTGAGGCATATCCTTGAGAGATTTCCACAGGGATGAGTCGGGGAGACTTCTAACGTATTCCAGCACTTTCTGCACACCGAATCCACAGACGACTTGCCAATGGAGGTTTCCAGTTATGGATGACTATTTTCGAAAATAATAACCATCTTCAGTCGCAATTTGAAGAATTGACTCGCTAAGAATATTCTATGACAACTGATTTTTACCTGCAGTTGTCACGGGAGATAAACACTCTTATCAATCTGTAGAAAGTTACGGGTGCCGGTGCCCCGTTGAAGTCGTAGAATTTGTCCATCAACAGCATGGACTTAATATTGCTACTCTCGCCTAGTTCAAACAGCTGCCAGTTTGAAGATGATAGCAATTAGATATGTCTATGTATACTCTCGAAAATTGGAGTAAATACTAAGTATTCGTCAAGAACAACATGAAGAAAATGAGAATAGTAGCAAGCATGTTTAAGTCTAGTTAGTAAATTGATGAACAGCCGCATGCGCGAGGAAAAATTTGACATGATTGCCACTTTTACAGCTTGATAATGCTACCAAATCTGTTTGTTTTGTCCGAACGTTTGCGATCTCTAATACGGACGGCCACGGCTCGTCTATTCCGAGGTTTCCTGGTGCTGGAGATATGTTGTGCCGTCAAAGCCACGGAGTCAAGTTTTGGAACAGCCTGGGTAATATCTTATTTCCTGCAGAGCAACGGGAAGAAGCCTCTACCTGTGAGATGATAACCAGGGGACTCGTTCATGAGAAGCTGGTCGGTGTGGCGAAGGTTATGGACTTCATTCAAGCATAAAACATATGCTTGGATGGAGGCCATAACCTTCAACCGACCATCAACGTTTTTCCTTTTTGCTGCAGGATCAGCATGATCCACAGCCATAGATTCTTTCTGAATTATCAGCTGTGCATTTTTTTTCTTCTACTACCCTAGATAGTTTCTTTTGTGGTCGGTGTGCCGAAGGTTATGGACTTCATCCAAGCACTGCAGAGTTCCCAAGACGAGCACATGTGATTTCTCATAGATCATGCACCCTGTTTTACATGAAGATCTACAGCCATAGATTAAGGTACAAGAAATCCCATGGTAATTCTTTAATACTCCTTGTAGCTAGAAGTTAGTTTTAGTAGTTATTAACAACTACACACATTTTATTTCCTCGCACTTTTCATAGTAATTGCAATTATAATAATAAATCAGCTGCGCATTCTTTATTATTTGTTCTTCTTCTACCGTAGTAGAAGTTTTTGAGGGCTGACTAGCCTGGAATGATCAGGTCGAGGTCGCTTTTTTGGCAAACTTCTCGTTACAGTTTTGTTGGGTGTCTGCATCAGAACATTCACTGTTCATTTTTCGCAGCTCTAATGTGAGAACGCCAATGTCGGAAAAGGTCCATGACTGGTTTGCGAAACAAGACTCGCCGTTCAACGCGCTTCCTGTATGGTCGGACCCCGCAGAGGCTGATGACACAGCGTGCTGTGTGAATGGTACTAGTAGTGATGTTTTCATATTTTAGAGTCTGCCACTTTGCCTCTGCGGTGGCCATGTCAGGGGCACACGCATGACATAAGAGTTGTTTTAATGTTAGATTTTTAGATATGAATGTAGTACGGAAATCGAGGATCATAATATACATGATTGAGATTGACACGACGCATGTCGATTCCTTTCCAGATGATACAGACTAGGTTTTTGATGGATTTGGACATAAAAAAGTTCTGCTTTGAATCTTGACCATGTGCATGACATTTCAAGGCAAGGTCTCAAAGTTGTATCATGAGTCTAACCTCAACAGAAAAAAAGCGGATGGAGGACGAGAAGCAAAGAGTAGAGGCGAATGCGTTACAGTGCGTGCCGATCAAGGGTGCTTGTATGGTGAACACCCGGATGAGGAGCGACATGCATACTCACGATAAAGCGGAGGGGCTTGCTTTTGGAGCCGGTCCAGGGGCTCTTTCTCCTGGCATCGGTAAAGCGGTCGGGGAATATCTATGCAGAAAGAGCTCTGTTGTGATGCAGAATCAGGTCGCAGCTGGTATCTCCGACTGTGCAAGCATCACTCGGAAACTCGTCATTAAGGGTCACGATAATTATTCATCTCTCCTTCACTCCTTAACCGTTCTAACACTTATCTCACGCGTAACCCGTTACTCATCTTAAAAACAAGGACGACTGAAAACAAGCATGACTCCTGAAAACAAATTGTATGATTTGACGAGATTATTCCTGAAAACAAGAAGTATGAGCCCTAACATCAGCGAGAGGTGGGGGGCTGTCCCTGACGACCAAAGCACGTGGAGCACAGCATTCAGAACGCCATTGGGTGAGGGTGCCTTGGACATGCGCATTATTGAAGCACCAGAGACTGGAGCTATCGAATGGAGCAACCCCGATCACGACAATCCTGTAGAGCAGTGCTGCGAAACTACACAGGAAGGTACGGAATTATATCGGATATTTTCCATTTATTTTTGACTTTTATGAGGAAAACTTTAATCGGCCATACTAAGCCGGCCCAGGCTTGAGCCTACCGTAGACCCTCGCGGTATGTCTTGCGTGATGTCGCCGAGAAAACACATGCCAAACCTGCACGAGGGAAGAGAATGGACACCATGCGCGCCCATGTTGCGCCGGTCTTGTGTCGTGCTTGTTCTGTCTTGTCTGTTGTTCGTTCTTGTGCTTGCTTGTGTAGTTATTAACTAGCCGTAGTAGCGCGCTGACGCTGCGGAACTGGTTCAGAAGGCTTCGGGTTTCATTGGGGAAATGGGTCAAGGTTCGCAATGGATCACAAAAGCGCGCCATAAGCATACACTCAAAGCAAAGTATGTAACTGGTTCGTTCTTTTTCCCTCATAAGTCGTAGGTTAGTCCCTCCATCTAATACATATGCTATGGGGTTAGTTCAATGTGATTTAATCAAATGATCATGTGTAGTCACATTTTGTAGTCGTACTTCTTAGGGTTTTTTGTATTCAATATTGGCACTTAGTCTTACTGTCTTACCTTGCCAACTACAACAACTAAAACTACCGAATGCATGGACATTATCAGCATAATTCGATTACATATTTATCATTCTTGAAACTACGTTAACATGATGTTGAATAAGTAGAAGGACCACGACGACAACAAGGAGGACGACCGCTTGCAGCGGTAAGTCCAGCAAGAGGTGCAGCAGTCGTTGGACCGATATTGTCCCTCTTCTCTCTTTCCTCAGCCATCAAGCGACGGGCGGAACAGCTGTCGAAATGCGTACCGACAAAGTTGTGTCCGTGGTCTCTCGCCGAAGTGAATGGTGCGGCTACAAAGGAGCCCGCAGGGAAAAACGTGTGTGGGCTACAGGACCGTGACCTAAGCGGGAAAGTTGCTCAAGCACTTTTCCCTGACGACTTGATCTACAACTCAGAGGGCTTTCGCTGTAGCGATATTACCGCTGTTATGGAGGTGTTTTTCAAGATCATACTCACGCGTATTCAGTTCTTCCTAGAGATTCGTGCTGGATACTTATTCGACTCTACCAACTTTAGTTCGATTTCACTAACGGCATTTTTTCTATAACCCGGACCCGCTAACAAAGGTTTTCTGGACCCGCTGGAGAAGTGGGAGGCACTCAAGAAGGCACACGGATGGTCGAGTTCCCTAGAGCGGACTCCTGACCGCGAGTGGGATGCAGCCCCCTGCTGCATGTCTAACTCGGGGAACGGGATGAGTACTTGTAGATTTATACATTGGTAGGTTATGATCTTGACCGTCTTGTTCAAAATAAGTGATGTGTCGACTACAAGATTAATCTTATATTTTTTTTACAACAATATATATATGCAAAATTCACCAGATGAGAGAGTTTTCGAATGGATTGCCATGTCCACGGCTTGTGAACCGGTGAAGAACGAAGCGTGCGATCTGCAGCTGAAAAAGCCCAGGAGGGGAACAGAGTCCACGGGAACAGTAGAAATATTCTCTGCCGGCGAAAAGCTATGTCATGCTTCTAGTGCCAATTTCGTATTTTGGCGCCCTGATGACTATAAGGAACTGGAGGGACTCGCTAAAGGGCTCTTCAGCGAAAACCAAGGGCAAGGAGAAATCCGCTGCGACACGATTACCAGGATTATGCGTCACTCAATTATCAGCTGCAAGTAGAATCTATTAGTTGGCTCCGTCTTGGTCTTGCCGATCGTGGTGGGCATCACCGTTGTGACAAACAAGTTGCGCGATGATGTTGTGAGTCCGATGGAGTGTGGATCGTGTGGAAATGGGCACCATTCATGTCTCTGAGATCCGTTCATATCACACCAAGAAGGAACCAATACGGAAGACCAGAGAGCCTCTAGATTACATCTACTCTATTTTAGCAATAGAAGTATCTATATTATTAAGTATAATCGTCCAGTTCCAGTTGATGATGTAGAGCGGTATCTTCAATGATAGTTGTGTCTAAACAAGATGATTCCATCGTTGTCCTCTAATATGAAATTCCTCGGGACGGAAACGGCTTTCAACGCCATCAAAACGGTTCTTGGTACTAGCGAAAACGAGCTCACATGGAAAACGAGCGAGGGAGAAGGTGATACCATCTGCTGCAAAAGCAAAGCTGACGAAGGTAGTTTCACTACTTCACTTTTTTGGGGGGTGATGATGATGAGGCTCTCGTCATACAAGAAATTATACCTTATTACTTTAACAAATACGCTTTACTACAAAACAAACTGGAGTACGCTTCGTGTCGGCAAAATCATTGGTACGGCAGGACCAAAAAGGAATAAACAAAAACCACCAGACCCAAAAAGAGGCCTGCGGCCATCCGGAAGCCTCTCGCAGAGGCTTTTGGGATGGTTCACGAAGCGGAGTAGAGACCCTCGTCCTCAGGGCTATCTGAGCCCTGAGAGACTACGCGGAGGTGGCTTAGGGCGGAAGCATTTTGTGGGGTCACCTGGAAGGCCCGCCAAGGCTCCCGAAGAGGTTCTCGGACAAGTGGCGCACAGACGGCGCGAAAGGCTAGCGAAGAGGCTCCCCGAGGGCTCACAGAACAGCGCCCAGCAACGTTCTAGCCCTGCCGAAGGCTCTCTAAGAAAGAGGCTCCGCGGGGGGCTCCGTCTCCTTTAGGCGGTCTCGCGAGCCATCCATCGACCGAACGGACCGGTCTCAGAGCCCGACGGACGGGCGCATTTTGAGAACTTGACGGGCCCGCTTTGCAATCGTATTCGTAACGGACCCTTTTTGAAGAAATAATAAGCTAGCTTTAAAGGGCGTTCATGACCAAAACGGGCGAACAGTCGAGTTCTGTTCGTGTTCCGTCTTCATTATCTATATGGGCCGCGAGTGAAAAGACCCAGCACAAAGCTTCGCGTCTCTTCTTCTTGTTTCTCGGCCTCTGTAGGCGCGAGGTGTTTGGCCCCTCAGTCCTTGACCGAGGGCGAGCGTCTTGCTCTTGGCGTGAGAGAGCTTTCAGTCCTTGACCGAGTGCTCGTCTCGTCTCCTTCTTCTTTGTGCAAAGCGTCTATCAGTCCCTCTGACCTCAGTCGCGTTGCTCTTTCTCTTTTTCTTTGTTTCGCACTACAAAGCCAACCTGCAGCTAGTTTTGTCGTGCGCTTGTTTGTTTCTGGCCTGAGAGAGCTTGCAGTCTTTGACCGAATGCTCGTCTCACCTCTTTTCTCAGTGCGCACGCGTCTTCTAGTCCATTTGACCTCAGACGCGTTGCTTCCTCTTCGTTTCTCTTCTTCGGACGAAAAAGCTAACCAGCAGTTAGTTTATTTGGCGTGCGCTTGTCTTTGTTGTTGGCTTGTGACGGCGTTCAGTTCGTGACCGAATGCTCGTCGCTTCGCCTTTTTATCTGCGCAACGCGTTCTTCAGTCTCTCTGACCTCAGACGCGTTATTCCCTCTCCCTTTCTTCTCTTCGCACTACAAAGCCAACCTGCAGTTAGCTTTTGCACAACCTGGCGTCGCAAAGTAACCTTCAGTTATTTCTCTCTTTTTATCCGGGACGGCCTCCTGCCCGTGGCCGGAGGCGCGTGTTCTCCTCGGTTTCTCCCTCGAGCGGCCGCCCTTAGTCTACGACTGCGGGCACGTTTTTTTCGAAGAAAAAGACTAACCTGCAGTTAGTTTTTGTCTTTGCTTTATCTTTGGTTTTGGCCAAAACACTCCTTTTTCTCCTGTCGCTGTCTGGAAAGAGCCTTCAACTCGTAGTTGAAAGCTCTTGGTGGTTTGTAGGCCGCCCTTGTCTTGGCGCGTCGGTGCTCCCTCTTTGGCGGGTTCTTGGGCCGCGTGCTCCGTCTTGCGGGGTTAGCGGCCCGCGGTCGCTTGGCCGTTCGCCTTCGTAGTGTCACACCTTCGCTTTTGGGTCTCTTGAAGACTCTTCTTCGGCCTTACTGTGGCCTCAAGACAAAACTGGCTTACAAAACCTTTGCATCAGGCTCGTGTTTCTTGTCTACTTTCATCTCCACCTTGTTCGTCAAAACAGGAAGGTCATGAAGATGAACGCTTACTGACTTGCAAAAATTGAAATTGAATTGGTGGAACCCCCGGTGGTCCGATGTCAAGTAAATCTTCTCAACACAATATGAAACCTAGTTTGTGTACAAATTTTCCCCATTATGTTGAGGTGTGCTGCAAATCTAAATTGGCTTCTTCCCTTTTTATAGGGTTGAGGTTTAGGTCCAGCGGCGCTCAAAGCACTAAATAAAACAACCGGCTCGTTTTTACCTCTAGCGTATAGCCCCTCCAACAACCTACTTATGATATTATTCACATCGCAACAGATGTAACAATGTTAACTGCACAGGCACAGGCGGAGGAGCGGCATAAAGCCTAGGCGAAGGCTGAAAGAAAATTTGTAGTGGACAATTCGATGATTTGATTTGTGTTTCCATTCCTCGCGCATGTCGTGGTCTGATAGGGCAACATTATTGGAGGCAGCCATCGATATATTTTGCGATCTGATGGGCGGAGACGACACACGACGTGATGCTTTTCACATTCTTTCAACTACAGTGATTAAGTACATTCATACTCCTCGGTCTACATGTACCTTAGAGCTGATAAGACAAAACTTTTCTCGTGATTTGATTCAAAGTCCTCGTGAAATCACATTATGTTTATAATATACGATTTCTTAACAGAAATACGATGTTTATCGTGACTGATTACCAAGCGCAATCCAATCAGGAAGTTCTCACACGATTTTTGTACAATATATAATGGAATATATATTTTTTCGATGATGTTTCAATTCCAAAGGAGTAGAGCTGGTGGATCCTTATTCTATCAAAAGACTTTTCATCTTTGCGATTACACTGAGTGATTCTAAGGTTTACATCTTGCTTATTCTATCAAAAGAACGAAAGGCTATGGCTAGCATTTTTGTGAAAGACTAACAGGCACAGCCAGATGAGAAATAGAAATCTTCTCCTGTGTAGACTCTCACAATTTTTATCTGTGGTTCTACTATTCAACTTACATCATGGTCATGATCATCATGCTTTTAGTTAGTTGCAAAGACAGCTCTTCAAACTCGATGAAACGAGAATGGATCATGGTTGAGTGCCGCCCGATAGTGACTTCAAGATTAAGTGATATAATGTTCGTAGTGCGGGAATTAAATGTGCGTAGTGCGGGAAATTGTAGGCACAGGTAACAAAAAAAAATTAAGTCAGAATGTCGAGACGGAGGATTTTATTTGAAAAAGGATGAGGCACGGCGGACTGGATATCGAGAGTGTTGGGAGCGCTCGTGACACTCCCTCAGACGAACGCACTCCATCAGACGAGTGTGGAGACTCTCCCGGCAAAGATGCTGAGGCAGACACCCTGCTTCGGAGGAAGCGTGTTTCCGGAAAGGAGCAAAGGGATTTGCTAAGGCCTAGTATTATAGTTGTATCTACTACAATATTTGGCCACCTTGATTTGCCATATACTATAGTTGGTCCTCCACGGTCTACCTCATTATGGTTGTATCTACTGCTGCTTCCTTCATCAGTGATGAGTAATTAGACATTTATCTGTCTCCTGTCTCCTGTATTAACCTTTGTTTTCTAAGACGGGGCTCCGTTCCCTCCGCTCCTCCGCCTTCGTTGAAAGATCAACGCGGTAAGGAAACTGGTGGCAAAAAGGACCGCCCCCGTTTCACTTGCGACAAACGATGCTGCGCGTTCTCATGGTGTCGGGTGGGGACCATCACCACGATTCTTTTTCTCTTTTCCGCGTGCCTTTACTTCTTCTACTTATGGTTCTCAATCTTTATAAGGCATAACAGAATTTTTTTATTATTTTCTGTGCAAGTGGTTAAACGTCATGTTCGTAGTTCTTAAAATACCTGTGTAGTACAAGGGAAGAAAAAAACATAAGAAAGATATTTTCTCATCTTCCTAGCTTGCTATTGCTACATCGACGTAGTGAGAAATAGTCTTCGAAGATTCATCTGAGGCTCTAACTTTGCATGATGCAGTCCTCGAGTTTCTTGGCGAGAAGGGGTCGCTAATAGGGCAATTTTATCCCTTTGCAGCAGAGCCGTCGAGCAGCACGTTGCAAACCTCCAAAGAAGAGGTGGCCAACAATTGCGGGTCGGTCACTTGCGGCAAGCAGGAGACGGGAGGTATTGAAGAGGAACGATGGGTGATCCAGTACAACCATTTTCCTGATTACGATTCCTAGAATACTTAGGTGGAGCAGCTCGTCACTATCATTTCAAGTGTATCTTCCGTTGGTATTTTTTTTCGTTTTTTCTTTCAGGATCTTCCTCCACTGCTTCTTCCTCATCGGCTGCAGCAGAGGAGAAAGCGGCTGATCAAAAAGCCGTCGGGACTTCTTCGACTTCTACCATAGGAAACGGGGCTGCTGATCCCTCTGCTGGTGGCGATTCTTCTACTGGGGCTGCTGATCCACCTTCTGCTGGTCCTGCTGATCCCTCTACTGTTGCCGATTCTTCTACTGGGGCTGCTGATCCATCTTCTGCTGGTGCTGCCGATCATAGTAGTGATCATGTTGGTACTTCTGATCATAGTACTACTGATCTTCATAGTACGGAGCCTGGTGCTGATAAAAATGATCCTCGTGCTGGTGAAAATGATCCTGATGAAAACGCCGTCGGGACTTCAACTTCTTCGACTTCTACCATAGGAAACGGGGCTGCTGATTCTTCTACTGGAGCTGCTGATTCTTCTACTGGGGCTGCGGATTCTTCTACTGGGGCTGCTGATAGTGGTGCTGCCGATCATAGACATAGAAGTGATCATGGTACTTCTGATCACAGTACTACTGATCTTCATAGTTCTGAGCATGGTGCTGATATAAGTGATCCTGGTGCTGGTGATAAGGGAGCAGGTGCAGGTGATGGATCCAGAACGTGTGATACTACATCAAAAAAGCGAGGTGAAAAAAAAACAAAAGAAAATATCGCAGAAGGAAAAGAAGAACCTCCTCGGACTATTGCTGCTGAGCAGCCAGAAGTCTCACCACCTGAAGATCTGACGCCGCAGGAGGGCACGTTGGACGAAGATTCTTTAGTAGATCTTGACTGCCTCACGACAGACAATTGCAAGGCTATAATTCGTCACCCGGAAAACCTTGAAGATTTAAATGCATCTGGCGGGGCAAGGCTCACGGGCAAGATCGGGATCTACATGTGCCCAGGGCCAGCGCAAGAATCGGCGGATCGTGCTATAGGTAGGCTATTCGCGGGACAGAAGATCCGTCCGCCGATCACCTGTGCCACATTCACCAAGAAGTTCATCAACGATGCGGCTAATCATCACTGGAACGGCAAGGAAAGCAGCACCACCTCACCCATGTTCGGGAGTCTGGATTACGACGAAACGCTAAACGGCCGTCAAATCATTAGGGAAGGGTCAGCTAATGTCGAAATAGCTCGAAAACAGAATAGTATTCGATGAAATTTACTGGAACAGGAGTTAAGTTATGATATATTTTTGGTCTCTTAGTTTCTTGACTAGTCGCATTCTAGGCCGCCACACTACATATTCGTTTTGGACTATTATATATATATATATTTTGAGTCCAGCATCTCTGCTTCCTCAACATACAGTAACAACACGTGTTTCTCGGTTGTTTCTAATTCTTACTGGGTGGCTGGTGTCACGGACGACGACGTTTGTTGCCGCGATAGGGAGCTCTACATGGACGACTCGGCGACCAACTGGCCTCCAATTTTTAATCCAACTCTTTGGTATATTTCTCCCGGGTGCATCCCGAATCCACGGAGGACTTGCCAATGGATTTTACAGGTTATGGTTGGTTGCGGTAAGCCGTCAATGAAGATGATGAATTATCTGTAGATGAAATTTGTGGGATGCAAACCAAGAGGATCCGTCCGTCAGCATGCACTTAATATAGCTACTTTCCCCTGGTACTGTTGTGTTTAAGTATTTATAAGAAATTGGAGTAAGTTAAAGTTTAAGAAGTAAGATCTGTCAAGAACACAAAAAGGAAAACTCGCGCAAGCAAGTGAAGCAAGGAAGTGTAAGGAGTTTGTGATCTCTAAAGAGGACGGCTCGCCTCCGAGCTCTGCTGGAGATATGTTATGCGGCCGAAGCCACCTAGTCAAGTTTTGGAACCGCCTGGGTAATATTTTATTTCCTGCAGAGCCACCGGAAGAAACGTCTACGTGTGACATGATAACCAAGGGATTCGTTGATAACAATCTGCTTGGTGTGCCAAAGGTTATGGACTTCATCTGAGTACTGCAGAGTGAACCATCAATAACGACAGCGTACCTAGTACGTGCAACATGTGATTTCCCATAGTGGGTAAAAAAGTTCGCTATTTTTTCGACACTGCTTGCAGCTTCTAGATAGTGTTGAATAGTATTTATATTTATAAGTAGTTTAAGTTTAACACACATTTTTGTTTTTCCTCGTTCTTTCCGAATTATCAGCTGTGCATTTTTTTCTTCTAACCTAGTTTCTTTCGACGTGGGGCTAACTAGCCTGGAATCATGTAAGTGCTTCGCGTCTATTTTTTACCAAACTTCTTATAAAGAAGTATTTTTCGGTTTGGATAATACGACATTGATAGATCTATTTGCGCAGCTCTAATTTGAATACGCCAAAGTCGAAAAAGGTTCATGACTGGTTTGCGAAACAACCTGTTCCGCCGTCCAATAAGGTTCCTGTATGGTCGCCGAACCCTGCAGAGGACGACCACACAGTATGTTGCGTGAATGGTACCAGCAGCTAGTATTCTTTTCATTTGTTATTATAAGTAGATGAGTTAGATGAACCTGAATATTGAGCGATACATAGGTGTTGAGATGATAATGTTTTTGGTGGATATTAAACATATTGATTATATTAATATTTAATATTATCTAATAAATACGAATACGCATTGAAGGAGATCATCCCTTTCCCTTTCGTGATGTAAAGTAGTCTTTCGAGGCTGTTGGTCAAAGTTGTATCGTGGTCAATCTAACCTCAACAGCTGCAGAAGAAGAAGAGCGGAAAGAGGTAGCGCGAAAAAAGGTACTGGCGGATGCGTTGCAATGCGTGCCGATCAAAGGCGCTTGTATGGTGAAAACTCGGACTTCTTTTGATTCCTATGGCGAGAGCAAAGAGGTCGGGGAATTTGTGTGCCGCAAGAGCCTTGCTGCGATGCAGAATCAGGTCGCAGCTGGTATCCGCGACTGTGCAAGCATCACTCGGAAACTCATCGACAAGAAGAGTGAAGAGGATGCAGAGGATGCTTCCTCTAACATCGTGTGGCGCACGGTTTTCGGGTCAAGGTTGCCTGGTTCTGATGACATGCTCCTTGCTCGTCGTGCAGACAGACGAGGTCTCGAATGGAGCAACGAGAGTCCGGAAGGTCCTCACGAGAAGTGCTGCGAGACTACACAGAAAGGTGTTAACTACAAAATCAGCTTTTTAAGAATAAGACCGAAAAATGGAGGACATATTAATTCGATTTTTGGTACATAAATAAGATTCTTTTTCTTGAAACATTTTCCGAAACATGTTACAGACAAGAAAGACCACGACGAGAATGACTACTGACTACGACGTGTTGTAGAAGAAGAAGTAGAAAAGTAAGTTTTAGAAGTAGAGGAAGAAGACGTGCACCAACATCAATCGCTAGATCAATCTTGTCCTTCTTTTCTCTTTCCTCAGCCATTGAGCGACGGGCGGAACAGCTGTCACAATGCGTTCCGACAAAGCTGTGCAAGTGGTCTGTTAGAAGTACCATAGCCGAACCATTGCGCACGACTGAGGAGCCAGCAGGGAAAGCCTTGTGTGGGCTAGAGCAGGACGCTGAGCTGAGCGGGAAAGTCGTAGAAGCACTTTTCCCTGACGACTTGACCTACTCAGAAGGCTTCGCCTGTAGCGATATTACCAAGCTTATGGAGGCTTTTTTCAAATTCATGTACTTCTACTTTCACCAACGTCAGTTTTACTTGAATTATCTTACTTCGTAAACTACCACCTAGTATGTATTCTAACAATGTTCCCCTCTTTTATCGCACGGAGGAGATGGAGGTCATCGCGAAGGCACACGGATGGTCGAGTATCTCAACGCTGACGCGAGAGAAGTATAAGTGGTCGGTCCGATCGTCCGCCTGTTGCATGTCTAAGTCGGAGGGTACTTGTAGATACATTGATTATGATCTTCTAAATGAGTGATGTGGTGCAGCTATTATTTGTCAAGAACAAGACTAATGTTTTTAGTGTTTCAACCTCCACTGTCTTGGATAATCTATTTCTCACTTTTTCGTGAGAGTGAGAATGTAATTGTCTCAACAACTCTTCAATCACACTTTTTGCTTTTTCGCCTACTTTCAGAAAGAGTTTTCGAATGGATCGACGTGTCCACGAACTGCGTACCGGTGGAAGAAGAAGCGTGTAAACTGAAGAAGGTGGAACAGCACAATGGGGAGGAGTTTTACGTGGGCAAAAAGCTATGTCATGCTTCTTCTAGTAGCCCGACCACCATCGACTACTACGACGAAGACAAAAAGTATAAGGAACTGGAGCGACTCGCTAGAGGGCTCTTCAGCGAAAACCAAGGGCAAGGAGAACTCCGCTGCGACACGATTACCAGAATTATGCGTCACTCAATTATCAGCTGCAAGTAGATTGATCTATTAGTTGGCTCCGTCTTGGTCTTGCTGGTGATCCTGGTGAGCAAAACCGTTGATGTGACAAACAAGTTGCGCGATGTAGTAAGTCCGAGGAAACAGTGTGGGTCATGGGGTACAATCATTGTTCCCGAGATAGTACGTTATCACAGATCAAGTTCAAGAAGGAATCAGTAGTACGCACGACCACGACGAAGCCTACAAATTAACATACAGCATATTGTACTTAAGTAGTTGGAAGAAGTACACACACACACACACACACACACAAGCGCGGGGCATCAGTATCTGAAGAATGCACTTTCCTCATCTAATATGAAGTTCCTCGAGACTGACAAGGCCTTCAACGCCATGAGGACGGCTCTTGGTAACGATCTCACATGGATTCAAAATCCAGCTACAGGAGATGCCGTTTGCTGCAAGAGCAGAGAACAAGGTATTTTTTGATTTTTCCTGCTTGGTTTGGTGTAGTGGCTCTCTATATTCATAGAAGCTGAAGCACGTAGTTGTAATAGTATCTACTGTATCTTCTGCTTGCAGCAAATATTAGAAATATTTATAAATATGTTTGTACATGATGATGATCTCTGTATGCAATGGAAATGATATTCGCATGATCACTAGGTCATCATCCTGAGAAAAACGAGGACACCAAAAACGCATCAAAAATGTCACTTCTGCTCCAATGTTTTTTTTTTCACGAGCCAACCTTTCATCTCGAACTCCAGATGAGGCAAAGAAAAAAGCCGCCGAAGAAAAGAAGCTGGAAGAAGCTGAGCAACAAAAACGCGCTGAGGAGAGCGCATTAAAGTGCTTTCCGATCGAAGGAAAATGCATGATTACGTCTCAGATCGTGGACCCAGGCAATGGATGGGAATACCTGGACGCAAAACCTGCAGGGCTATTTTTCTGCGACAAGATCTCTCCGGTGATGCAGCAACCCGGTGGTGTGTCCGCCTGTGAACACGTTACACGGAGGCTGATAAACGAGATGAGAGCAAAATATGTTGCTGGTGGTGGTGGTGACAGTGCATGGGCACGGGCTTTCAAAATTGCGAATTATCGCGACAAGCACGAGTTTGGCAATTACGTAATTACTTACAAAAGCGAAAGCGATCATGCTGCTGGAGCTGGCTCTGACGTTGCATGGGTGACCGACACCGTCGATGAGAATGAGATTTGCTGCAGTGCGATCGTCAAAGGAGGTACAAATCTATCGTAGACACGTGAATATGAAGATGTAGCGTCGCTTTTCATCTTTCCTTGTCGTACTAGCGAGGTACATTTTTGTAGAGCGACCTGTTCTCGAAGCCTTTTCGAGGAGGACTATGAAAATTACGTCCTTAGTACTCCTTGCTTTTGCATGATCTCAGCCAGGTTTTTCAAATTATTTAGATCTCCTCACAAAAAAAAACTTCTGAGTCTTATCTTCAACACATCGAAATCGATGTTTATCAATAACTTCACCTCCACTTCTAGGCGCCTAGGCGAAGGCTGGGAGGAGACGTAAGGCAGGCAATTTGATGGATCAGACATACCGATGGTTTCCACCTAATAGGGCAACGTTACTGGTGGAGATGGAACTTTTTTGTGATATTAAGGGCAGATATTATGATGTACGTGATGCTGGTCAAGTATTAGGCATATTCCGTGGCGTAGTTCCTTATGCTTGACCTACTGTGGAGTAAATGCTTGGCCTTATTTGTTAAAGTGCCACACTGTTTCTATTACCTCATTCAAGTCGAGCGTACTACGTATTATTAGTCTGTCACATTTCTCAGTCTACCTTGTTGGTACTACTGAAGATGAATTCCCCTCTATGTGATTGCAAGTAATTTACAAGGACCACAAGAGCCACTACTACGGCCTGGGCCTGCAGCTTCACCTAATGGCCCAACCCAATTTAGGTAAATTAGTAATATAAAGTCTCTACCTTCCTCTTTTCTTTGTTTTTCTAGTTAGGTCTCTCTGCTCCACCACACTTATAAACTAGAATAATTTATAGGACGGATGTAGGATGGGCTTGGATGGACCGGATGGACCCCCCTAAGTCTTCCGGTCCCACTTAATGAGGGGAAGTCCATCCGTTCCATTATCCGACCCATCCCATCCGGGACCTGCCCCCCCTATATGATTTTCGTAACAGTTACGACGTAACATCTTTCCCCTTTCATGATCAGTAAACTGGATAAAAAACTTCTCATACATATGATTTTCGTAATTTTCCGTGTCATTTAGTATCACGAGTGCGTGCAAATAGGTGAAGGATGAATCAATACAAAAAGCACCGAAGTAGTAGAAATAGAAGATGGCCGCACGATATCATGCGATGGTCCTATGGCGCCTAGCAGCTTCGACATTTCGTGATTATTTATCAAAACTATTCCAAAATTCTACATCAAGCGCACCACTCGTGGTGTGAAGATTTAACAGTCACGGGAGTGATTTGACCGCATATGATGGACAAGCTTACTTACCCCTTTTTGCGGGAGGTTTACGCTAGTTCTCAAGGCCGAGAGGTTGTTGTGAGTGCCCTCGGACTATTGTGGTACTTGTTCTACATTGCCGCGCAAGAAGGAAAGTTGTTCTTGTTCCGACCCTCTCACCTCTTTGCTTCTTTCCCCACCGTTAAACAACTGTGTGCATCATTAGGACTATTTCTATTTTATCAGCTCGGTCTATGGTATCTTCAGCCTCGGTTGTCTGTGGCTGCAAATGTTCGCCTGATGATGCAGGTCACACTGTGGACGGCGAGCCGCCTCCTAATATCCTATCCTATCTAATTGGAGGACTAGTAGCTACTCCTCTCTGCTCGGAGCTTCCTTAAGCCGTTTTTACCTTGGTTTCTTGCACAAATAAATGGCCTCGTCTCTCCGTTTGCTGCAGCTGCTCCGGGATACTTTTTCTGAGAAGTCTTAGTTCGTTGTAGTAATAAAAAGAGAGTGAATTATGGTGCGAACAATGGTCGAGAGTGAGGCTTTTATTTAAACAAGGATGTTGAGGCACGGACGTGATATCGAGAGTGCTGGGAGCGCTCGTAACACTCCCTCAGACGATGCCACTCCCTCAGACGAAGGCACTCCCTCAGAACAGGGCTCTCCCTCAGACGAGTGTGGAGGATCTCCCGGCAAAGATGCTGAGGCGCAAGCCCTGCCCCGAAGGAAGCACGTTTCCGGAAAGGAGCAAAGGGGCTTACGGCTTGTAGTCTAGAAGTGGTATCCAGTATTGCTATTGCTGCTTCAATGATTGGAGATACACACATGAACTAGAACTTCTTGAATTATATCATGATTGATGCAGATGCTACGGAGACTCGACGGAAGTCCACATTATACTTACAAATTTACTCCATAGAAGTACTGACTTTGAAAAGTCCTAGGTAAGTCGCATTATATCACGATTGATCTGTCACCATCCAAGCAAAAGGACCTAAACTTTCCAAGTACTTAGATAGTCCGAAGATAGTATTGCACTGATCTTTTTTTACTCGATGAAGAGAACTGCCTACTTTTCTAAGATAGAAGGGCTCTGCTTGTTCTCCCGGTCCCGCGCCGTCAACAGACAAAGGCGGCAATCAAGCTGGCAAAAAGAACCATCCTCGTGCTACTGCCGAGGACAGACGGCGCCGTGCGTGTTCATGGTGTCAGGTTTTCGCTGCAGTAACCACTGTGGGACTTCTCTTGTCGGTGTGCTTCTACTTCTACTTATGGAGGTTACTGCTGATATTTTTATACCTACAGGTACACAGGTCCCTATATTTTCGTTTACATACATTTTCTTTGTTGTAAGTGGTTTGTCACCTTTATCATCTTTTACATTTGTTTCCCTCATAGAATTATAATGGTGGAGTTGTAAAGTCATCCAGGACGAAGTGGCTAGAAGAGAGTGAAAACTCAATAAAACCAAAAGCTGAAGCTCGAATTCTCTACAAGCGTGATGCTGTTGCGTTCGCAGTGTTTGACTATTGTTGGTCGTGCGCGACTGGAGCTACGGCTACCGTACTCGATTTACTGCCTGCAACAGCCTTTCCTGGTTTTGTACTGGAGTTTCTCGATCAGAGCAAGACGTCACGACCAGGAGAAGGGTGTTTTTGCGATGTGGAGCCGACCGCGAGCAGTGCGCTGGAGTCATCCTGTTGCGGGTCCACAAATGAAGGTACTAATTATAGAGATTGTTGAAAAGTCGTCTTTAAAACCTCCAGAGTTTGTATGAGAAAGAACAGATATACTGTCAAGAATAGATGACAGCATGATATTTATCTTTCTTATCAACGACGATTCGTCGAACTCGGACTGTGGTACGAGTTTGCCCGTGGAGGTAAAATTTTTTTACACGTCGTCCAATGAATTGTTTATTCATATATAGTAGTAGTACTCGAAAAGGTACGAGTGGTACAAGAACTTGTCGTGGAAACAACTGGGTCATGGGGTAAACTACACCTTAACATGCATTCATATTTATATAGCACTTCTTATTCATATTTCTTACTCTTAGTGCTTGATCTTGTTCTTGTTCCTCCGATGAACTACTAGTATTTTACGTGATAAATCTTCTTCAGGACCACAGAGACCACGTGTATCATCTTCTGCTTCTTCGGATCTCGTGAGTCCTATAGAGGACACTCCCCCAGGTGGAGCACAACCTGCTGCTGCTCCTAGTAGAGCTGCTGCTGATGGTGGTGGTAGTGGCAGTGCTCCTACAACTTCTGATGGCGGTTCTCCTCAAGCATCTACTGAAGCTCTTGGTGGTTCTACTGAAGCTCTTGGTGGTGATAGTGCTACTGCAGCTTTTCGTGATAGTTCCACCTCCGGCCCTGGGGCTGCTTCTGGTAGTAAGGACTTAAGGGTAGGTTAAAGGTGTTCTTGTTACCGTTTGTTATGGCTCTCCTAAGGGAGACAGGCATAACAAAAACAAACGGGGAGGTAAACGAACACCAAAAACCTACCTCTAAAGGACGCTGCTGGTGGTGGCGATAGTCGGGCTGTTCAACCACCCCACGATGGTAGTATTAAGGATGTTGCTGGTGGTGGCGATAGTCAACTACCTGATACCCCAGATGCTCTCAAGCGGGCTCTTGCGGCTGACAATTCTGGCAAAGCCGTGCTCGTGAGCAACACCAAACTAGCAGGGAAATTGCGACTCGTGTCGCGTTTTTTTTCTTGTTCCGACAGGATTCCACGTGCTGCGCCCATGAGGGTTTTTGCGCTTTTGTGGATGTCCCCCGCGCGCGACCTCAGTGAATCCGACTTCGAGGAGTTTCGGCATGTGTGTTGCGATATGAATCCACGTTCTTCTGGCGCTCCCAATGGCCGCTGCCCGAAGGATGCCTATCTGGTCAACGAGCTCCACCCGGTATCGGCGGACGCAGTCTTGAAGTATCCACTCGCTCAGCAGCATGGTCAACAAGAATTTGCAGAGGTGACTTTCGCGGAAAGCCCTCCTCTGTCCGTTCTGCCAGGTCAAGGCTCTGCTGATGAGATCACTGTAGTGGTAAAAGGAGCCACCAAGGAGGCAGCGGCGCTGCTGCGAATAGACGAAGGCGCCACGCTGGAAGTCAAGCTATCGGATCTGAGGCTTGGTCGTGCTCCTCCTAGCGATAGCGAGCTCTCAAAGGACGACTCAGATACCAACTGGCCTCCCGTTTTTGTAAGGGACTCGAAATGGCTTCCCCCGAATTGCATCCCGAACCCACAGAAAACTTGCCAGTGGAGTGTCCAGGTTAAGGCCGATCAATTTTTGTTGGCGTTGACATTAAGAAAGTGCGGACGTAGCTGCCTGGCACGCAAGTAAAATTTGTGCCAGTAGAAAAGTGACAAGCACTACGACGGGCTTTCGGCCTGACACATCTTGAAGAGTGCTGCAGCTGTGATCTGCGAAGCGCTTGCGCGGATGAACATTTCTTTGTGACCTTCCTCTAATAATGACGGCGAGCCGAACCCCCTTCACAAATTCGCTGGAAACGTTTTATATGGCCTCCTCGATAATTCATTATCCAGCATCTCCATAACGAAGATCCCTCAGCCGTATCTACGCGCCTCCAACTACAAGGGAGACACTGTTGAGGCATAGACCTGAGGGATCTCCACGACAGGGATGAACTACGTGGAGTGGTCTAATTTTTGTGTAGTGGTCCCCAGCTTGGGCTTTCCAGACTAATGCAGGTGGTCGTTCCAACATTAGAAAAGACATTTCCGAATCGCCTCGGCAATATGTTATTTCCCCTGGAGGGGGCGAAAGCGGATGCATCCATTCGTTGCGAGGTAATAACGAAGGGCTTTGTCAATAAAAACCTGCTTGGGCCTGCCCTGGACGTTACGGATATAACGGGATATTTCTATAGGCATATCGATTATTTCTATGCATAGACATAGTTCACTCCTTCTTCGCACTATATGCTTCTTCGCACTAATAAGTATGCTCAAAGCACAAAAGTAGAGCAACCGGTCAGTTTTCCCTCTACCCTTAGACTTATCTCTTCACGCAAACTGTAATATGCTGCTCATCCTCATCCCTTCCATGTATATAGGCGTTTTCGAATCAAGCACGCTCTTCACGACAGTATTGAATTCGAATCAAGCCCATTTTTAGCTTATCTCTAGCTAGTACCTTGCATCTCTCTTCTAGACCTAGAGGAGGAGTAGATCCTGCAACTTTGTTCGACGATCCTGCAACCTTGACACGTACAAGATGGATCGTCAACGGCTGGATCCACGCACTCGCTCTAATGTGACAACGCCAAAGTCGAATAACAAGGTCCGTGACTGGTTTGCTAGTCAAAGTTGGTCGAAGCAAGGTGTTCCTAGCTGGTCGAACTCCGATGAGGACGATGCCACGGTGTGCTGTGTGAATGGTATCTACGTACTTATTGTTATTTTTGTTCTTTTTTTCTTTTCTTTATTTCTTGGGATTTTTATTGGCTTCTTCCCTTTTTATAGGGTCGAGGTTTAGGTCCAGCGGCGCTCAAAGCACTAAATAAAACAGCCGGTTCGTTTTTACCTCTAGCGCGTAGCCCTTCCAACAATGTATTTGGGATTTTTATTCTTTTCCCATATTTATAACGAACGCATTTCGTCGTTTTATTCATTTATTTCGATTAATCTCGTCAAGAATGTGTTTCATCTTCTGGTGGTGCTGAGAGCTGATCGCGTATCCATCTAACCACAGCTAAAGCAGAAGAAGAACGACAGCAGCTCCAGAAAAAAACGGCAGAGGCGAATGCGTTGCAGTGTGTGCCGATCCAAGATACTTGCAAGGTGGCTATTGAAGTGGCAGACAATTTAAGTGGAGGCTTTACTAGGTGCTCCTGTCTCTGTTGCCGTTAGTTTTCCCTTTCTTAAGGAGGAAGGGCATAGCCAACGGGGTAGGCTCCCGCAAGTAAAAAATCCTACCGCTAAACGAAGGACGTCCTGCAACTATCCAAAAAGAGGTCGGGGAGTTCGTGTGCAGAAAGAGCTCTGCTGTGATGCAGGATCGTGAGCAGCTACAGCGTGACGGTATCTCCGATTGTAAGGGTATTACGCGGAAGCTCATCACCTCCAAAAACAGCATCAAGAGCGGTCAACCTGCGTGGGAAAGAGCTTTGGAAACCGAGTTGAAGGATAATTTAGTCTTGCCAGATATCCTCAACTGGATTGGCAGAGAAAACCCAGAGGAGTCTTGCTGCGAAGCTACACGCAAAGGTGTGGAATTATATTTAGTACTGAGGTGCTTGTAGAAGTTTTTCTTGTTTGCATTTTTTATAAAAGCTGCGAGTGGTAGCCATTACATATTTATATGTTGCTTATTTTTTTGTTCCAAAAGACGGCAACATTGAGCCACACCATGATGATGCTCAATAAGAGGGACCGCGACCAGTTGTAGCAGTTTTTGGTACAAAAAGAAAAACAGCTAGAACGCGGCGGGCTACATTATCTATCATTGATCTTTCCCCCCCCATCTTTCACCAGCCATTGCGCAACGGGCGATACGGTTATCGAAGTGCTTCCCTACCAAGCAGTGCGAGTGGTCGTGGAAGACCAAAAATGACGCGTATACAACAAGGAATGGGCCAGCAGGAGCTGCCTTGTGTGGTCAGATGGACCCCGTCCTCGGTGACAAAGTCGCTACAGCACTTTTCGGTGACGTGGAGGACTTGACCTACATGACAGAACCAAAGTTACGGGTAGGTTAAAGGTGTTCCTGTTACCGTTCGTTTTGCCTCTCTGAAGGGGGAAAGGCATAGCGAACAGGGTAAAAGAACACCAAAAGCCTACCTCTAGCAAAGGACTTCGCGTGCAGTGGCGTAATTACCAGGGTTATGGCATGTTGTTCAAGTTTCCCACGAGGACGAGCGAAAAAGTAGTAGAGCGAACTCCTTGATGAATATATCATGTTACGTAAGTATGCGTATGCTTATCTATATTAATGTTGTCCTTCTAGTAAGGTAATAAAAATAGAACTCGTACGTCAGGTGGTGCGGATTGTCATTACTACCTTGACTTTTCTAATGCGTGCGTCCTGCGTGATGAGGAGAGGATGAGAGGAATCGCTAAGGCACTCGGCTGGCAGGGTCTGCCACAGTGGAGGAATGCGGAGATTGATAAGACCGCCTGTTGCATGTCTGAAAATGAAAGTATTACAAATATTAATATTTGCATTTGGCGAATGCAACTTCATCTACTGTAGTTCAATAGAAATAACTACAAATATGTTAGATCACTTTATTTGAAATAATTGTTGTAGAAGTACAAAAAACCCAATCATATTTATGTTCATACAAAGTTACTAGAAGTACAACTGTATGTAGTTCTAAGGCGGGCCTAATACAAATTCATTATCTTAAACTCTGGAGGTGGAACTTCCTGGAAGTGGAGTTACTGCGTTTACCTTGAATACTTCCTGAAGAATAAAACTACTGTCTTCATCACATCTTGTTCAGAGGGCTTTTTCGACTGGCTAGAAGTGTCGAAAACCTGCGTACCACTTGAGAGCGTGGAGGCTTGCAAGATGAAAAGGACAGAGGGAACGTTTTTTTTCCCAGCCGCCGACTTGTGTGACGCTAGGCGGAGTCCTTTTTAAGGCGAACTTCCCCTAATCCATCTCTTCGGCTATCCCTCAACCGTATGCACCCCAAAGCAAAGGGAATGCTGAGGCATATCCTTGAGGGATTGCCACTGGGATAGACTGGGGAGAGGTCTAAAGAACTGGTGAGGGTTGGTACGTCCCGGACAAGTACGATCCGCCACGACTTCCCACAAAACTTTTTGGCATTGACAGCGGAATCTCTGGCGACATAAGCTGCAGTACGATTACCAGGGTTATGCTAAGTCAGTACTTAAATAATATCATTACCGGAGGCTTTGCACAGGGCTCCTGCCTATGGGGTTGACGGGATGACGATAGCGCAGGCGCTTAAATAATTGGGTTTAGCTAACAAGTACAAGAGGATACTTGATGATGATAGCTGCCCTTTTCTCTTTTCTGTCTTCCTCTGGTCTTTCTTTTTTCTAGTTAGGTCTGCTCCACCACGATCATCGCCAGGGTTATGCTAAAAACTATCTCTATTTAATATCATTACCAGGGTGATGCTAAAAATTATCGATATTTAATATCATTACGACCAGGGTGATGTTGAAAATTATCACTATTTGATATCATTACCAGGGTGATGCTAAAAATAATCAATATTTGATATCATTACCGGGGTGATGCTAAAAATTATCACTATTTGATATCATTACCTGGGTTATGCTAAAAATTATCACTATTTGATATCATTACCTCCCGGGCCAGGGTGGCGTTAAAAATTATTATTATTTAATATCATTTTCATTTATTCTTCTTTTTTAGTTTTTTCCTACTTAGTTAGTTTTGGGGTTGGTGGCTTCTCTGCAGGTCCAACTGGCTTGGGTATTGCCATTTTTTCACTCCTGTCCTGCCCCTTACATTTACTATATATTTCATCGTTATCGTAGACTTATCCCTTCAAGCAATATATATGTATAAATATTTCTTTTTTTCTCATACACATTATTCCTCATTCGTTCGTGCCAGTATTCTCGTTCTTGTGGCTTAACTTCGCATGACGCCTGTGCTCCTCTTCAATAGTACTTACTACTACTTCTAGTCTTTAGTAGTCTACTCTCCTCACTAATCACTAGCGCCGCCTTAATATCTTCATTTCTTCTTTTTTGGTTTCTAGGTGGTTGGCTCCACCTCCACTATTATTTTTTATTGTCATTTTCAGCACAAGATCCGCCCAGTTCTTCTATCTGTAGCACCAGCACAGTATCTTTGGTGATGTGAGGTTGTACTTGAATCGACCATAGAATGAACGAGTACCCTCCATGACACCCCTTCTAAAAAGAGTTTCCTTGGGAAGAATTTCCACGTCCTTCAAGAAGTCATCAACCGGCACTATAGCAAGAGCGATCAGTGGGTACAGGAGGTGCTGGAAGGCAACGATGATACAGCTTGCTGCAAAAGCACCGATGAAGGTATAAGTAACCGATTTTAATAGCACCTTATGTGTCTTTTCATATTAGCGCGTCTCATTTATTTATAGATGATGAGATAGCATACGCTTAGCATTCTTACTTCAAAAAATTACTCCTCGACCAGCACGAAGTTCGAAGTTTGCATGACTTGTTAAATTAAGTTATCTTTCATCTCCAACCACTACCCCAGTGGACAAACAAGAGAGATGGGCGGCCGAAGAAAAGGAACGCCAAGAACAAGCTAAGGCGAATCGACACGCAGAGGACACCACTGCATTGCAGTGCGTGCCGATCGCAGGCAGCTGTATGGTCGCGTCCCGACGTGAGGATCATATCGATATTCAGTATGTTAAGGCTACTTTACCACTATACCATTTATTGCACCATGAAGATGGTGAGTAGAGTGCTGCCCTTAGATTTAAAGAAAGAACCAAGGCGGAGAAAGAAGGGCAACCCACTCAACAAGGGAAAATCCATCTACCTTTAATCACGACAAAATACGCATAATCGATGGTAACAGAGAAGCAGGGGAATTTTTCTGCAAGAGGGGCTCTCCGGTGATGCAGAAGAAGCCCCATGGTATTCAGGACTGTGCAAGCATCACGCGAAACCTGATAGACGAAGTGAGTAAACAGAATCCACCTGCTGACAGCGCATGGGCAGAGGCTTTCGAACAAGCAGCGGAACACAGGGACAATGTGTGGAAACTTATTTACCATCCGGGCCACGGAATCAGGTGGGACCGGAAGAGGCAGGGGCAGAATGAAAATGAGCCCTGCTGCGAGGAGAGCCCATCAATTAGTATCATCTTCTTTGTGATGAGTATCGTGTTGTAGAAGTTTGTTGTAGTTTTCATCTCGATGCTGCTCTTGTGCTCTCTTCTAGAGTGTTCTCATGGAAAGTCTTTCATCGAGTAATCCAAAATGAATATTTCAAGTACAAATGAATCTACAACATGGAATCATGGTATTGGTAAATCGATCGTATCAAATATATCGACTTAAAAATCACAGGTGAGCCATATCGGCTGCATTGAGGGAGATATGCCTTTTCAAGACTGGGACTATCATGATCGGCCATGAGACAGGCTCGAGCTACAGGCCTGAGGCGAAGTATCTCGGATGGGCGTCAACTCAAGTATGTGAGGAGATGAGCAAAGGTACTGATGAGCCTTAGTCTCGAGGGGTGGCATGGTGATATCTCGGGTGGACGAGATGAAATAAACACTATCTATCATATTATTTATAAGCTTTATCTTCTAAAAAGTAAGTTATAGAGCACAAAGAAATCCGGCGGGATCGTATGCGTCGCCCGGAGCGCATCAAAACAAACAAACAAAGTTATCCAACGTCTTCCCCTGAGATGTCGTAACTTGTACAAGATGGACAACGTTCATCAAGATCATGATGCAAGTCAGTGAGCACAGAAGTGATCAGTTGTAAGTAAGCTCCTCCTGAACAAGGTGCGAATAGAATAGATTGGATCGGTGTCATCTATGTGAGGAGTATTATGCTGTGACTTGGTGCTCACCGCTAATGCTGTTCTCGCTTCTAGACAGGTGATGGTTGAGTTATTGTGTAATGGGCGACCTTGTACAATTTACGACGACACTGACTACAAGTATGCTATACGAGGACCCAACTACTATCGGAGAACAGCTCCTACTTGTCGACAAATGGCCACTGAGTATTAAGCTGAAAATGACCACTCAGTGACCACTGTGGCGACAAATGGCCACTCAGTGACTGAATAAGCTGATAATGCCATGATCACCATCTACAGCTAACAACCCCATGACCAGTGCTGCTAAAAATGCCGTAAGTGCGCCACAATAAAGGTGAGCTAGTACACCTTGAGACCTCACTTACTGGCTCTACAGGAGCCATGACAAGGTGAATTAGTCGCTTTCTTGTGTTTTGAAACTTGTACAAGACAGAGAATGTTCATCAAGATCATGTAACAAGTAGGAGTAATACGAGCTATAGATGATCGACGCGCCGTCTCTGGATCACCCTGCTATTTCTCGTCAGGAGCATGCTTATCAAGGTGTCGATTTTGGGTTCTTGCAGGATGGATAAGGAAGAGGACGCAGAAACCAAAAAAGAAGTAAAAGACCACCACCTAGCGTAGTAGTGCTAGTCGTTCAATCTGTTTAGTATTATCTTTCTTTCTTCGTTGCATTTCGTTGTCTCCGCCTGTCTGCTGTTTGTGAAACGAATCTCGTCCCTGTGGGTGGCCAGAGTGAGGCGATCGGCATATCGCTGGGAATTGTGGTGTAGTCATTCCCTCAACTACCTCCTAGTTTCTTGATCATTTTAAAATCGGCGGGTTCGTAGAGAATAGAATGATAGAGGAGCACTATTTAAGCTCCGCCTGCCGCCGGTTTGCGAACTGGATAAAGCTGAGGCCGCTCTTTCAGTAGCCCCAGGATACAAAAAAAAAGAAACTTTTCTGAAGTCTCCAAATCCAAAAAAGATCTTCATGAGGAAGCTTCCACTTTAAGCCGACCAAGCTGGTGCCTTGACTTCTCTACTCTGTCGAAAAACTTGTAACTGCAACCTGCTGTTTTTTGAATACATCATGACCATGGGCATGGTGGTGGTGCCTCTCTGCAAATATTATGCAGCTCCTAGATATGTTTCGGACAAATTTTTAGAAGTGAGTACTTCAATAGATGATAATCATGATTATGCAGCGTTGTACAAGACGATTCGGTCAGAATGAAGACGACGAACCAGCACCAGGAGCTCTCCCTGCTTTCGTCCTTGAGTGCGTTGCGCGACATGATCTTGATCGTGGGGAAACAAGTGAAGCCACGAGGCGATCTGATCTTCAACGGAGGTCGTTACCTAGCAGGCGGAGGAGCCACCAATACATCAATGTGCGTCAGCCTTGCAATCGTCGGAGAGGTTTCCTGTTAGGAAAAGTATCGTGTTCTCAAACCCAAACGTCTTCGACGATACAGGAATGCAACTTCTCCGTAAGTCATGCGCGGACGAAAGTAACGAAGTGCGGCCGCCAGAGATTAACCGCGGCTCTGGGACGAGTCTTGCGCAGTCCCCTCTTGTTCTTGCTACTTTTTACTGAGCTCCGAGTTGCCTCCCTTGCTGCTCCGTTGCTTTTCTCGCGAACGTTTAGCGGCCGCCCTTTTTCCACTCTACATTAAGACAAGAGTCTGAACTTCTTCAAGACTTGATGAAGTAAAAATGAAATGTTTCAACCTTTAATAAGTGTAAGTCTACTAAGAATGAACCAGTCTTCTAAGTCTACTGATACTCTATCCCGGAGTTGTAGCTTATTCCGTATGGGTGAAGTACTTTTTTTACTTGGTACGCTTTCTTTGCCTACAACTTAGATCATTGAAAACTGGTTAGATTTCTTTTTCAATGAAGAGTAGCGCATCTTCTATCATCGAAATAAGTACTTAAACAGTACACGACATGAAGATTCAAACCAGCAAGGTACTCGTTATGCTATTGTTCGAGAAAATGGACTGATTTTGGTCTTGTTCTCCGATTTCAACAGTCATTATCATGCTATTAAAATACAAAGAGGACATGACACTACAGGCAAGAGCAAAAAGGGTTGAGATCTACAGAAATCACATCAGGAAGTGCAAAACGAAGTAGAAAATAGAAGTAGCCCAACACCTCAAGAATAGGCACAATCATCATCATCATGTATCTTCCGGTGAAGATCACGTCCGCTAATTCGAGACCGGAGGCGCAACATCCGACTCGTCCTCGTCATCACGGCCTCGAAGGAGTGGCTTGCCAGTTCTGCCGACGAGAACGGTACTCCGTGATGGGGACGGACGAGATGAAACGTCACCCGCTACTGGCACTTCGAGTGATGTGGTCCTCTCGTCTGGTACCCGTGCCTCGACGTCAGCCTCATCCAGCACATCTTCATCAAGTACTAGAACGCCAGCAATCCATCCAGCAATCCATCCAGCGCCATCCCGCTTCGGCCGCGGACTTGAAACCCCCAGGAGTGCTCCTTCTGCTTTTCGCTGCAACAGAACTTCTTTTCTTGTTCTGGCGCATACTGTGACACATACAAATGAGCGTCCTCGGAGACCAGACGAACTGCACAATGTTGAAGTGAATGAGGCAGCAGAGGCACTGCAGCAGGATGAAAGAAGTTTGACAACTTGTTCTCGCGCACCAGATGCAGAACAGAACAATAGGGGTGCTGCAACGGGTACCTGCGTCAATAAAACCACTGCTCGCGACAAGAGTAAGAGCCGTGTTGTCGTTGATGACGAGAACCCGACCATTAATCGAGAATCCACTTCCACTTCCAGTTCCACTCCAGGATCGCCTACTAAGGAGCCCACTTGTATCATATGCAGGCAACTAGTCGAAGTAGACGAGGAAATTTTTCGACCACTGTGCTGCGACCTTGACATCGGGCATAAGGAGTGCGTGCGAGATTGGTTCTTCTACTCTAAGTTAAGCCTCAGTACTAAGTTATTGTTATATATACGTGGTAGCTTCTTCAGGAGGTATGACATCATCTTTCTCTTTGTGAGAACACCTTTACGACAACGTGAAGTAGGACCAGGAGTGTTCTTTCTATGACCCATCAATGATACCAAAGATGCTAGCAAGAAAGCAAGCGCGGAAATACAAGAAAGGTCAATAAGGAGGATTTTTGGACTTTTGTAAGTCTAAGGAGGGATTATAACCCCTCTGGTTCGCGGAAGCCGCAAATATTAAGAAATGAGAATATTATCTTTTCTAAGAACCGATAAAAAGAACACCGCGTGGTCTGGGTCTCGGAAGCCGCGGTGCATGCGCTGTTTCGATGAGAAAGGCCTCACGTTCGCAGACGAAGACCTTGCTGGAGTATACGAAAGTCGCTGTGTGATTTGCGCCATCGCGATCCCTGAAGAGGTAGCGGCTTACGCGCGAAATGGAGGCTCTGGGTCATGCGCTGGACTTGAGAGAAGGGGAGCACGTCGAGAAGATAATAACGTGGGCGACAGCAGCACACGAGGGATACAAAGGACAACAGGAGTTATGGCAGATTTTCCATCAAGAAATTACTTACCTTATAATTAATATGATCTTGTTCTGTACTGTCATTTCAGTAGTTGGAGAAAGTAGTAAGTGACAGTGACAACAAGGGCAACTCCTCTCTCTTTATGTCACTTATAATCAAGAAGAATGAGTGTCAATGTTGATCTTCTTCGTCTTACTTCAAGTTCAAGACCTTACTCGGTTGTTGAGTGCAAGAATGAAAGGCGGGTCAGCACGACAGAAGATACTAGAAGTACTACGAGGCAGCTGCTGCTCTAAAGCAAGCAGTATCGTGGGAAATTTTCATTGGTCCAGTTTCGCGAGTAGTACTAGAGCAGGCAGAGATGGAGCGGCAGGCGGCGAAACGTGTTTAGACTATCTGAGTACGCTCGGATCGCGCGCGGCAGCAGGGGTGTATTTGCATCACGTCGCAGTCCAAAATTTTTTGGAGGAGATGTTCTCATACCTACGCATTTCTGTACAACTACTGCCTGTGCCATCCTCGTCTTCGGATCCTTACAACAACACGTATCGGTATCATCGAGATCAACCTCCAGCGCCACCGCCAGCAGGCACTTCTATGGGCTCTATAGCGGGTTTACTAGGAACTCCATATCCCTATGGAGGAATGGGCCTTTTCTCCTACCTGGGGCAGTCGTCGAGCAGCAGTAGTGCGTCCTTTGCTGGAGGGCGGGGCATGCGCAACTATAGTTATAGTTTCGGCTTCGGGGGACCACCTGTAACTGTGCCTGTTGATTTACCTAGTGTCGATCTAGGGCCTGGTAGTAGAACTACTAGTGGTCGAGCAGGTAACCGTGGTCAACAAAGAGGACTGGATGGACCAGCACTAGTCCAACAACTGCATGCTCGGAGTACTAGAGCTGCGGGACTGGGAAACATCCGAGATCGAAGACACACAGATGATTAAGGGTGTGGGAAATCCATCTCCGAATTCATCTGGAAGGAGAAGCCAAAAAGAAAAAGGAACCTCGTAGGTGATCTTTGTGAGATGAATTTCCCGCATCTCTAACATGAACACGCGAACAGCTCTCCGCTTTCATCGTTTCACATAGTCCGCCAAGACGACGAGGACGCCGAAAGGGATTTGCGGAGACGCCTAGAGCGCGGCATGAATGGACACGAAGCGATGCATACATTAAGGCTTGAGAAAATCCATCTTCCCCAGGAGCATCTTCCTCCCGTTTTGAAGGGGAAAGAACGAGCACCAAGATGCAAGATGCTCACCAAGATGGATTTCTGCAAGCTCTAAATGCAATAGTCTACTTTCCGGATTGTAAGCATGTGGCGCATGCCTTGTGCGTGGGTTTTCAGATGTGCGGCAGTAAAGATGTATGAACGGTTAACCTCCAAGAAACGAAATCTAATAAAAGTTCTCCCCCTAAGCAAGTATCATCTACTCCTACTTTCATATTAAAAAGCATCCACATCATCCACATCATCTGTAGCTGTGGGTCTGGCTCAGGTCATTCTACGGGGAAACTTACAGCTTCGGCTGCTGTGGAAGTAGCCCTGCGAAGGAGGGCCTCCATTGGTGTATTCATTTGTGTGCAGCGATCCACACAAAGCCTCGACATCCTTCCGACATTATCGCTATGTCTAGTATATGCTGGCGGCCTCTTTCTAATGAATATTATAGTATCAAGAGTTTACTCCCCGGGCCTGGGTGCCCCGGGAGACGTTAAGGAAGGGAAAAGGATACTTTAGGGACGTGGGCGGGGGTGAATGGTTTCACAAGGTGAAACGGGCGCCCGAGGGGCGCGCACTCCCCTCCGCGTGGCGGTGATCTTACAAACAAGAGCAAGGTGGCAGCACTGCCACCGATGCCGTTTGAAAGGTTTGGCTTTTCTCTTTTTTTCTCTCTCTTTGTCCCGTTCGTGGCCTTGTGTCTGAACCATAGCGAACAACAAGAACAAAGGAACGCGGAGGCCCGCGAGGGTCGTCCGCAAATTATATAGCGAAAAA